AAAACTCCCATTTTCAGAACTTAAACTCTCTGCCCAGACATTTGCTCTACGCGATCGCGAACATTCCCACGCGATCGTGAAGAACAATTTCTATCGCCAAGATTTTATTCTACGCGATCGCGGACTTTTCCACGCGATCGCGATGCACAACATTACAGACATACGCGATCGCGGACTAGTCCACACGACTGCAAAGCACAAAATGCGTGACTTCTGCTCTGCTCCACTTGCTCTACGCGAACGCGACCTTCGTCACGCGTTCGCGAGTCACAGAACTCTNACGGGTTTAGAATAATACCTGGAGTCTCAAATAAGTGTGGATATTTGTTCCGCATCTCTTGCTCAGTCTCCCAGGTAGCTTCTCCGAATGGCTGATCTCTCCACTGCACCCCCACTGATGTTATGTTCTTTGACCTTAGCTTTCGAACCTGTCGGTCTAAAATAGCCATCGGCTCCACATCATAAGTCAAATTACCGTCCAGCTGTACTGTACTGAAATCCAGAACGTGAGATGGATCCGCGACATACTTTCGGAGCATGGATACATGGAACGCTGGATGAACACCTGATAGACTAGGTGGCAAAGCAAGTTCATAAGCCACCTCCCCAATTTTCTTAAGTATCTCAAAAGGCCCAATATACCGAGGGCTCAACTTGCCCTTTTTACCGAACCTCAACACACCCTTCATGGGTAAAATCTTGAGCAGAACCTTCTCCCCAACTATGTGAACAACATCACGAATCTTCCTGTCGGCCTAACTCTTATATCTAGACTGTGCCGTGCAAAACCGTTCCTAAATCACTTTGACCTTCTCTAAAGCATCCTGAACTAAGTCAGTACCCAATAGCCTAACCTCACCCGGCTCAAACTAACCCACCGGAGACCGACACCGTCTCCCATATAAAGCTTCATACAGAGCCATCTGCATGCTTGACTGGTAGCTATTATTGTAAGCAAACTCTGCCAGTGGAAGAAATTGATCCCAAGAACCCCCAAAATAAATGACACAAGTGCGTAGCATATCCTCCAATATCTGAATAGTGCGCTCGGACTGTCCATCCGTCTGAGGGTGAAATGTTGTACTCAACTGAACCTATGTGCCCAATTCTCGCTGCACTGCCCTCCAAAACTGTGAGGTAAACTGCGTACCCCGATCTAAAATAATAAACACCGGCACACCGTGTAGGCGAACAATCTCACGAATATAAATCCCAGCCAACCGCTCCGAAGAATAATTAGTACCGACTGGAATAAAATGCGTAGATTTGGTCAACAGATCTACTATCACCCAAACAGCATCAAACATTCTCAAAGTCTGTGGGAGTCCAACTACGAAGTCCATGGTAATACGATCCCACTTCCACTCCGGAATTTCAAGTCTCTGTAGCAATCCACCCGGTCTCTGGTGCTCGTACTTTACCTGTTGATAATTTAAACACCGAGATACAAACCCAACTATATCTTTCTTCATTCGCCTCCACTAATAGTGCTGCCTCAAATCCTGATACATTTTTGCAGTGCCTGGATGAATAGAGTACCGCGAACTGTGAGCTTCCTGGAGGATCAGCTCACGCAAACCACCTATATTAGGCACACATAGCCTGCCCTGCATCCGTAATACTCCTTGGCATCACCGTGCCAAACCGTGTCATTAAGAATAAGCAGATATGGATTATTATACTGACGCTCTCTGATGCGATCATATAAAGAAGACCGAGAAACCACATAGGCCAAAACTCGATTCGGCTCGAAAATATTCAATCTAACAAACTGATTAGCCAAGGCCTGAACCTCCAAGGATAAGGGCCTCTCTGCTACCGGTAAGTATGCTAAGCTACCCAAACTCTCTGCCTTATAACTCAAGGAATCGGCCACCACATTGGCCTTTCCGGGATGATAGAGAATGGTGATATCATAATCCTTAAGCAACTCCAACCACCTTCATTGCCGCAAGTTAAGATCCTTTTGTTTAAACAAATGTTGTAGACTCCGATGATCGGTATACACCTCACACTGGACACCGTACAAGTAATGCCGCCAAATTTTCAAGGCATGAACAATAGCTGCTAACTCAAGATCGTGGATTGGATAATTCTTCTCATGTACCTTTAGCTATCTGGACGCATAGGCAATCACCTTACCGTCTTGCATAAGTACTGTGCCGAGACCAATCCGCGATGCGTCACAATACACAGTATAAGACTCTGAACTTGTAGGCAACACCAATATTGGAGTTGTAGTCAAAGCTGTCTTGAGCTTTTGAAAGCTCTCTTTACATTCATCTGACCACCTGAACGGAGCACCTTTCTGGGTCAACTTAGTCATAGGCGATGCAATAGATGAGAAACCCTCCACGAAACGACGATAATAACTGGCCAAGCCGAGAAAACTCCAAATCTTAATAACTGAGGATGGTCTGGGCCAATTCTGAACTGCCTCTATTTTCTTCGGATCCGCCTTAATACCTTCATTAAATACTATATATCCCAAGAATGCCACCGAACTGAGCCAGAAATCACACTTAGAGAATTTGGCATAAAGTTTCTCATCTCTCAGCCTTTGTATTTCCATACCCAGGTGTTGTGCATGCTCCTCCTGGCTACGTGAGTACACTAGAATATCATCAATGAATACCACGAAAAATAAATCAAGATATGGCTGAAATACACTATTCATCAAATGTATAAATGCTGTTGGGGCATTGGTTAACTCAAAAGACATCACAAGAAATTCGTAGTGGCCATAACGAATCCTGAATTCTGTCTTTAGAATATCCGAATCCCGAATTTTTAATTGGTGATACCCAGACCTCAAATCAATTTTGGAGAACACCCTCGCTCCATGAAGCTGGTCAAATAAATCATCAATACACGGCAATGGATATTTATTCTTGATTGTAACTTTGTTCAACTGCCTATAATCAATGCACATCTGCATAGTACCATCTTTCTTTTTCACAAACAGAACCAGTGCACCCCAAGGTGACACACTAGGCCTAATAAACCCCTTCTCAATGAGTTCCTGAATTTGCTCTTTCAATTCTTTTAATTCAGCTGGTGCCATACGATACGGAGGAATAGAAATGGGTTGACTGCCCTGCACCAAGTCAATACCGAAATCAATATCCCTGTCGGGTGGCATACCTGGCAGGTCTGTAGGATATACATCCGGAAAGTCTCGCACGACAGGTACTGAATCAATAATAGGAGCATCTGTATCAACATCTCTCACAAAGGCCAAATATGACAAGTATCCCTTTTCAACCATACGTTGGGCCTTCACATAAGAAATTACCCTGCTAGGAATAAAATCTAGAGAAACCTCTATTCAACCTTTGGCAACCCCGGCATCGTCAACGTCATGATATTTGCGTGACAGTCTAGAATAGCATGACATGGAGACAACCAATCCATACCTAGGATTACATCGAAATCAACCATACCAAATAATAAGAGATCAACTCTAGTCTCCAGTTCCCCAATAGTTACTACACACGACCGATACACACGATCTACAGTAATAATATCGCCCACCGGTGTAGATACACAGACAGGTGAAACTAAGGAATCACAGGGCATATCCATATAATGAGCAAAATACGATGATACATATGAGTAAGTGGAACCAGGGTCAAATAATATAGAAGCCTCCATGTGTCACACTGAAACAATACATGTGATCACTGCATCTGAGGCAACAACATCTGGCATGGCATGAAAATCATAGAATCGAGCCTGCCCGCCTCCTAATCGGCCTTTCCCTCTTGGGCGACACCTAGCTGCCTGACCCCCACCCTGAGATGGCAGGGCGGGTGATGTAACTACTGGTGCTGGTGCTGTCGGTCGAGAACTCCGTTGTGAAACCCCACTTAACAGCCTAGGACACTCTCTCTTGAAATAACCAAATTCTCCGCACTCGAAACAACCCTTCCTCTGACGGAACTGCTGCTCCTGAAAACCCGAGGAATGACCTACAGAAGCCTGTGCGGATGAGCCATGATGAGAACTTTGAGCTGGTAGTGCACTGAATAAAGATTGGCCTGAGTGAGCACTGTAAGAACCATGGCTAGTTGATGCACCATGATGAGCTGGACGACCCGTCAGAGCGTGTCTGTAAGAATGACCCCTACCACGGTGAAACTGACCCCCTGAAGGAACACCGTTGTAATCACCCGGACCATGAGGCCTCTTAGCCTCTCTCTCTCTCTCTCCACGTTCCTGGCTACGAACCATCTCTATCTGTCGAGCAATGTCCACTACCTCATCAAAAGTAGCACCAGATACTCGCTCCCTAGTCATAAGTAACCGCAGCTGATATGTGAGGCCATCAATGAACCTCCTAATCCTCTCCCTATCAGTGGGAACCAACCAGACTGTGTGACGAGCCAACTCAAAAAATCTCATCTCGTACCGCGTCACAGACATATCACCCTGGCAAAGCTGCTCAAACTGTCTGCGCAGCTCTTCTCTGCGGGATTGAGGTACGAACTTCTCCAAAAAGACCATGGAGAACTGATGCCAAGTAAGGGGTGTTGCGCCAACAGGCCTATGTCTCTCGTAAGTCTCCCACTATCTGAGTGCAGACCCGGAAAATTAAAAAGTAGTGAATGAGACCCCACTAGTCTCTAGAATACCCGCTGTCCGAAGCATCCGTTGACACTTATCCAGAAAATCCTGAGCGTCCTCTGACTCAGTACCTCTAAATGGAGGAGGTCGAAGCCTAGATAAAACTATATTTTTTTTGGAAACTCATCTTTCTTTGTAAATAAAAATAAAACTAATACTCTAAAAAAATGCAACTCTTTTTGTAGTTTTTAAATTTTTTTAGAAAAACCTATAAAAGGGTAAAACAAAAGCTAAAACATGTAAATTAAACTTTAAATTATTTACATTCTAAAAAGTGGTAAAAAATTTAAATATGATCAAAAATTAGGTGCTCACAGCATGCCCCTCTTTGCTTGGAAACATGAAGAGTTTTCAGGCAAAGACAAAGTGAGTCGTGTGACTAATTTTTGACCAAATCTTTATTCAAAAGGAAAAATAATCAAAGGAAAGGGTACAACTGAGTTCTGGTTTTGGACAACCTACATATCATGGGTCATAAGGGAATCGTGTTGCGTATAGTTCAAGGAGAGTGATAGAATGATGGGTTGAGGAGTCGAGTAAGGTTTCGTCGAGGCTCCGGTCCGTGGTCCTGTGATTACATCAAAATCAAAATCTAAAGGAACTAAACAACCCTATCAGCTATGAGTTACAAGATTCCTATCTATAAGTCTTCTGAAGCTTGATCTTGAGTCTTGATGGTTCTTCATGCAGACTTTTGATTTGAACCTTGATGCTTGCTAGCTGCAGGTGCTAGTTTATTCTTCTACGGCTTTTTCTGATAAAAACGGGGAATGCAGTGCTCGTGACTTCAGCCATGTCTTGAGCAGTTCACATCTTTCATCTGTTTCTGCATTTTGGATTCATTTTTTTTCTTTTATCCTGGATTGAGACTTCTTCTTTTGGTCATATCGAACCCTGTGCCTCGAGGTAAAACCTGCTCAAAATATTTTACCTTATGTTGGGAAAATGTGGCCAGAGAATAGTATACTCTATATTAGCAAAAATATCAGGGAGTGGTATACCCTGCATTTAAGATCAAATCAACTAGGGAGTGGATACCCTATGTTGGAAAGGAGATTAGGGAGTGGAGACCATATGTCTAAAATAAAATCAACTAGGGAGTGAAGACCCTATGTTAGAAAAGAAGACTAGGGAGTGGAGACCCTATGTCTAAAATAAAAATCAACTAGGGAGTGGAGACCCTATGTCTAAAATAAAATCAACTAGGGAGTGGAGACCTAATGTTGGAAAAGCGACTAGGGACTGGAGACCTTATGTCTAAAATAAATTAACTAGGGAGTGGAGACCCTATGTTGGAAAACGAAACTAGGAAATTGTGTATCCTATGCTAAAACGAACCAAGAAGGATTTTTTTTTAAATTTATCCTAAATCAGACTAGGTTTTTAAATTTATTATCTTAGGAGAAAGATTCATCAGACTAAGATTTCTATCCTAGGAGAAAATTCATCAGACTAGGTTTTCTTATCTTAGGAGAAAAATTCATTAGACTAAGACTTCGATCCTAAGAGAAAATTCATCGGACTAGTTTTTTTTTTTTTGGTTATCTTAGGAGAAAGATTCATCAGACTAAGATTTCTATCCTAGGAGAAATATTTATCAGACTAGTTTTTATTTATTTATTATTATCTTAGGAGAAAGATTCATCAGATTAAGATTTCTATCCTAGGAAAAAATTCATCAGACTAGGTTTTCTTATCTTAGGAGAAAGATTCATCAGACTAAGACATTTATCCTAGGAGAAAGATTCATCAGACTAGGTTTTTTTTTTTTGAGAAAGATTCATCAGACTAAGATTTCTATCCTAGGAGAAAATTTATCAGACTAGGTTTTCTTATCTTGGGAGAAAGATTTATCAGACTAAGACATTTATCATAGGAGAAAGATTCATCAGACTAGGTCTTCTTATCTTAGGAGAAAAATTCATCAGACTAAGACTTCGATCCTAGGAGAAAGTTCATCAGACTAGGTCTTTTTTTTTGTTATTTTAGGAAAAAGATTCATCAGACTAAGTTTTTTATCCTAAGAGAAAGATTCATCAGACTAGATTTTTTTTTTGTTATCTTGGGAGAAAGATTCATCATACTAAGATTTCTATCATAGGAGAAAATTCATCAGATTAGGTTTTCTTATCTTAGGAGAAAATTCATCAGACTAAGACTTCGATCCTAGGAGAAAGTTCATCAGACTAGGTCTCTTTTTGTTTTGGTTATCTTAGGAGAAAGATTCATTAGACTAAGACGTCTATCCTAAGAGAAAATTTATCAGATTAGGCTTTTGTTTTGGGAACCATTTTCCTTACGTTGCTGTGTTCCTGTTTCAAACAAAGAAATTTTGTCAGTTTTAAAAGTGATGGTCGATTTGTGGCCATGAGTCTTGGGCAGCTTGGCTTTATGATCATCCAGCCTTTGGAAGACCGACTGCATTGGTAGTTGGTTGCACTGCTGGAAGACTCTGTTATTGCTTTCAAGAGACTTTTACTTTCTGTATCAACCCTGATTGTTTCGCTCCCAATGCCATTGGTGTTTTGTGGCTCAATCAGCTTTGTCTCAAAAAGAGATTTCTTTTCTTAGATAACCTTTTCTAATATCTTGAATGGCTTTTGCTTTTGGAGCAATTTGTCTGTCAGAGAGAATCACAACTAGTAAGTGCCTTTTGCACGATGTGCACACTTCATAGTCCTTGTTCGATACTACAGAGAATCCCTGATTAACCTTGAAGTTATCTTTGCTTGCTTTGGCCAAGTAAGCTGGCAAGAATCTTTTGAGGGGGAACCTTTGCATGAATTCTCAAGGCATGTTGACTGTAACAACTGAGTGTGCTAACCAAATTTATTTTGTGCAACTGAAAAGCTGGTAGCATATTTTGAAATTTTTTCTTGCTTGTTTTGACAAGGACTGACTCAAAGCAAAGGACATCATGATGCGAAGAAACAATATTAACAAGAGATGCCCTAGTCAAGAAAGAAAGAAGGAAGAGATTTTTTTTTTTTGTTTTTTTTTATTTTGCGGTAACTAGCCTTAATGATCATGATATGCATTTTGGACTTAACGGCCTGATCTATCAAACTAATCCAATCTTCCCTTTACCATTTTTATGACCTTTGAAGTCGGGCTTGTTTGTGCCAATTCTTTGCATCAGCTCACAACTCACCTTCGACTAGTGGTGCCCCAAGGGGTTTTCATCAACAAGTCTCTCTTATTTATTTATCTATATTTACTGTCGCCTTACAGTGCCCGTAAGAATTTTCACTAGTAAGACTCTCTCATTTTTTTTATATTTTTTTCCTTTTCTTGATATCTTGAGTGAGAACCCATGATCATGTCCCTCATATGACAACCATTGTTTATTACGGATTTTCCTTAGCATTCTCAAAACTAATCAGGAGGTCTTGTTTGGAAGGCTTTTGGATATGGTTAGAAAGAAAGGACAACATGAAAGCTCAAAATACTCAAAATGAGAGGGTTGTATACTTACAACTCTTGGAATCGACTCTTTCAAAAGTGAAATAAAATATTTGCCCTAGTTTCAGATACTCGGGATTTTTTTTGAATTTTTTTTCTTTTTCTTCTTCTTATTTGGTTGGACCGAACCGTGTAAGGCTGCCTACGTATCGTTTTTTAAAGGAATCAGGTCAAACGTAGTTCAAACATCTGATCTAACTAATATTTTTATTCATCTTTCTTTCTGTTTCTCTGTCTTTCTTTTTTTTCTCTTTTTTTTATTTTTTTCTTTCTTTCTTCTTTTTTATTTTATTTTTGTTTTCAAAACAAGTTGCCCCACCTTTTATTTTCTGGGGGCATGGACTTTGACTGTTCTTTTTTTTTTTCACTTGAACTTTCTAAGAGTTACCCCAGTTTTTACTCTTGGGGCATGGACTTTTTATTTTATTTTATTTTTTTGACTTTTACTCTAAACTTAATTCCAAAAGAAGGTGGTCAAAGAAAATAACACAGGCTCAAAAGGGGTAGCGAATGATATAAAGTTTTTGGATAGCAGAAAAAGCCTCCAAGCCTCGAGAACGCCAAACATATTATCTTTTAGCGATCATAGCATTGATGAACATGTCTATCTTCTTGGTGTGTGGTCGAAAGATACTTTCCATCCATTAATGTCATACTTTCCGACAAACTTCAATTGATTCTTCCTCAAACCCGACCTTCACAATGATTTGAAGGCAAAGATCATTAACCTCCATGGGTATGACTATTCTAGTTCCACATGAATTTTGCTCGAGATTAATTCCAAAGTGTTTAGATTCTTTATTCATCCTCAAAAGTGTCTTGTTCTCAGTTATCCAGTTCAAAATTAAATCAGGCACTGGCCAAAAAGTCTGCATGCATGTCATGTCACTAGAACTAACGGAAAAAGAATTAAGCACAAAATGACACAAACGGACACACTATATTTCATTGAATAACGGATAGAAGGATTTAACAACAAGAAACACAAACTAAAATCAGGGTTACAACCCTGGATAACCGAGATAACAGAAAAGATGACAAAACAAGCTACCAAGACTCCTCTCTTATGATGACCCAAAATATCATCATCAAATTTAATAATTAATTTTATATTCTAAGACCTCAAAAAGTACTATTTATCACTCCTCGACTTGCGTGCACAGTCCGTAAAAATTTCCGAAAAGTCTTTATGTGAAAAATGGATTAAAATATGAAATAGAGCCTTAAAACTCAACTAAGTTGACTTTGGTCAATATTTTGAGCAAACAGACCCGAATCAGTATTTTGACAGTTTTGGTAGGACCGTATAATGATTTGGGACTTGGGCGTATGCCCGAAATTTAATTTGGAGGTCCCTAACTCAAGTTATGACCATTTAACGAAAATTAGTAATTTAAAGGCTAAAGATTTCCAAGTTTGACCAGGGGGTTGACTTTTTGATATCGGAGCCAGAATCTGATTATGAAAATTTAAATAGCTCCATTATGTCATTTAGGAATTGTGTGCCAAATTTGAAGTCATTCTGGATTCATTTAATATGTTTTGGCATGAGATTTGCTAATTGAAAAATGTAAAACTCAAAGTTCGAAGCGAGGTGTGAATTGTAATTTCAGCATTGTTTGATGTGATATGAGACCCCGAGTAAGTCCAGCGTTGTTTGACGTGATATGATACCCCGAGTAAGTCCGTATTATGTTGTGGGACGTGTTGGTATATTCGTACGGAGTTCGAGTACCCCGAGAGTGATATGGATTGAAATCGGATCAAGAATTGGACTTAAGGAAAATTCTGAAATTTGGTCGCCTGGTGTGTTATCGCACCTGCGGATTTTTGACTGCAGGTGCAAGCTTGCTGAAGCGAACATTCCATAGCAGAAGCGGCTTGGGCAAGCTGGGCAAAATTCCGCAGGTGCGGAAACTTGCACGCACCCGCGCGTCCGCAGAAGCGGACTCTTCGATCGCAGGAGCGGGAGGCAGCGCAGGTGCGCATTTTTCCTCTGCAGATGCGAGGCCTCGCCTGGCATCCCCACTTCGCAAATGCGAGATTTTTCTCTCAAATGCGAGGCCACAAGTGTGAAAATATAGCCCGCAGATGCGAAAATGCTGGGCATAATACATAAAATCCGTCTTAGCCATTTTTACTCATTTTTGAGTTTTAAGTCTCAGATTTTGGCGATTCCAAAGGAGTTTTTCATGATTTTGAATTGGGTAAGTGTTCTATAACCAAAAGTGTTTATATTTCATAAATCCATGTCTATATTCATCACTTATTCTAGATTTAGATGCAAGAAATTGAAATTTTTGTAAATTTTCCAAAAAAATAAAAACTTTAAGATTTGAAGGTCCATTTGACATTGGAATTGGATAATTTTTGTATGGTTGAACTCGCAGCGGAACGGGTGTTCGGATTTTGCGAGTTTTTCTAGAATTTGAGACGTGGGTCCCAATGTCG